ATTCAGCAGGACTCCACCTTTTGCAGACTCAAAATTACAAAAGTGAAAGACTTCTTTGAGAAGAAAGCTGCAGAGCATCATGGTCCAGAATGGCAGAGGCCTAGAGAATTTGTTCCTTGGAGTTGTATTCAGAGCACTCAGCAATCCAGGCACTCAATCCCTATGGCTAAGAGAGAAGGAAGCCTGGCTACTGCTCTTGCTGGCAGCATATCTTGGCATCATCCATGAGGCACTGGTTTTAGGTGCATGCAGAATGGAAGAGTTGGGGCTGGGGATTTAGCTCAGCAGCACAGCGCCTGCCCAGCAAGCGCAAGGTTGTGAGTTCAATCCACGGTACTGGAAAAAAACAAACAAACAAAAAACCAAAACAGAATGGAAGAGTTGTGGGATCTGGAAGGTTTCCACCCTGATTTCAGAAGGTCTAGAAGGCCAGGCAGTGTGCCCCTGAGAGGGCGGTATTTGAAGTGTGAAGCCAAAGGTGCAGCAGAGACCTCAGAAGTTTGGAGAAGCCAGGAATATGGATCGTCTGAGGAAAACTACCAAGAGGGAGCAGAGGAGGCCCAAGAGTCAAGCCATGGGAGTTACAACCACCAGAAGTGCCATAGGGGTGGAGCCACTCAAACCCTTTGGAGTTCACATCTTGACACAGATTGCCTTTGTGCTGCATATGGAACTACAGGACTTAATATTTGACCCTGCTCCAGGTCTAATCCCCCAAACACACTATAAATTTCCTGTAACTGTTGTTACCCCAAACTCAGAGGTTTAGAACAATAGAAATGGATTCTCTCTGGAGGTCAGAAGTTCAAGATCAAAGTGTTGACAGGGCCATGCTTCCTCCCCAGGCTCCAGGAGACAATCTTTTGTCACCTCCTCTAGTTTCTGGTGGCTGCTGGCAATCTTCAGCTTCTTGGTTTGTGGACAGACACATCACTACAACCTTTGTCTCCAGCTTCAAATTGCTTTTCCTCTGTTCCTCTGTAGTCTTTCCTTTGTACGTTCCTCTAATGAGGATATTTTTCACTGGATTAAAATAAAACCAATCTCTTTATCACAAGATCCTTAATTTTATATGCAAAGACTTTTTTTTTTTGAGGGAGTCCATCAACCCACTTCATACCTGATCTCTAACTGCTCTGAGTTTGGAGCCCAGGATTTGGGGAGGGTGCATAGCAGGGAGACCAGCCCAGCCTGGGGGACACAAGGGTGACACTTGAGCTAAGGATAAAGAGAGAATAAATTAGAAAAGGAAGGAGAGAATAATATTCCAGGCAGAAGGAACCATATGTACGAAGGCACTGAGGTAACAAGGGGTCAGGCATTCCATGATCAGAAAGATCAATGTGGCTGCAGTGTGGGAACAGAGTGGGAGGATGGCTGGGATGGATGACAGCAGGCACAAGTGCCTATAGAAGTCTGGAATGTTAAAGAAGGTGTTATTTCACCCCAGAGCCACCTATGATCCCTAAGTCTAGGTTGGGAGCCTTGGGACTCCCTGGGAGTCCACACTCTGGGCCTGATGTTCCTGCACAAAACCTTAGCCATCTCAGGATTTCGCATGAGCCTGGGCCCAGACTTCACCTTGTCTTTGCTGTGTGGTCTCTGAGTGGTCACTTCACTTTTTGCATCTTTATTCCTTCACTTGTAGAATAAGGATGATCATGCCCACCTGGATGGCTGTCATGGGGATTATACTAGATTGGAGGACAGTCTCTCCATTCTGTGTGGCTCTAAGCAACTGCATTTGTGGGGTCCTACACAGGACCCTGGGAGCCGAGTGCTGTTGTTAGCTACATTATACAAATGAGGAAACTGAGGCCTAGAAGATAAGTAACTTTCCCAGGATCACAAACCACTAAATGACACAGTCTGGATTCAAACCCAAGTAGTCCAGTTATTTTGCTGGTACACTTAACTACTGGGCCATACTGTCTCTTCGATGACCTGGCACAGGGCCCAGCAGTGCCCATGAGGACACCTCCAGAAACAATTTTCCTTTCTCTTCTCTTTCACTGTTGAAGTATTAAGGTTCTCCAGGAATGATTACTGAACAAAGTGTGGCAGCACAATTTAGGCACCCCTGAGCCAGCCTTCTGGCATCTTTATATTGTGGGCAGCTAAGGTAGGCAGAAATATTCATAGTTTAGCCCACCATTACAAAATAACTGAGTGGCCTGTAAACTCTACCCTTAATGATCCTGGACACAGTCGGATCTTTTCTAAAAATACCACTGAAACTTCTCTACAAGCACTAGTAAAACTCCTATTAAGTAAAAGTAAGGGTCTTATCATGAGAGCCAACTATTATAGATATCAAGTTGGCTATTTTCAGATATGAGATGATTATATATGGTTAACTCCAATTATAGGACAACTTAGTAGGAGAGCTCCCTTATGTTGGGACAAAGAAATCATTCCTATTCTCACTGGCCCTCTATCAAATGCTTGGGATGGACACCCCCAAGAAATGAACACACACTATAATTTAACAGGTTGAAGACTGATTTGCAACAGACTTGTTTAGTCACTTTGGAATTAGATGGGAGGCCCCAGGGGCACTTATTGGTCCTGTGGAACTAATTTATGGCCCTGGTTACCCCCTGGATGGATAGGAAGATGCACACTGGGATTTGTATGGTTACAAGTCAGGCATGTCAAAAGCATCGACAAACCTGCATACTTACCTCTTCTACAACACTGATGGTCTAAAGTGTGTTTCATCAATATGATCATTCGGCTTCTATCTTTGTTCCTTCTCTAGGATTAGAAGATGTCATGCAACACATGGAGGCCTTGACCAACTATACTCAACAGGCCTTAAATGACACTTCAACTGGTCTCTCTCTCCTAAATGAAGAAGTAAAATTAATGAGGCAAGCTCTCCTCCAAAATTGGATGGCCTCAGACATCTTGACAGGAGCACAAGGAGGTACCTGTGCCATTACAAAAGCTGAATGTTGTGTATACATTCCTGATACTTCTGCTAATATCTCAAGATGTCAGACAACAGATTAAGGCCATATCAGATTCTGAAATTCCCTGGCCCTTCTCCTTCTCCTTTTTAAGGAAGGCTATTACTGGATCTTCCTGGAGGAAACATTTGTTGGTTATATCCATAATAGTCTTGTTGATCTTATTGTTTGGCCCATATGCACTTAACTGTTTCTTTGGCCTTGTCTTCTCCAGATTTAAAGCTATACCCCTACCGAAGATGAGAACACCTCATGTCTATTGAGGGCCTTTAGATAGATCCTCTGGGGAGTGTCTCAAACTCCAGTCATAACTATGACCCCCTTCAGGCTGAAGGAGCCAGAAGGGTCATTGTCCCCTGCCCACTAATGACAGTTAGGGATACCTCTTCAGAGGGGGGAATATTATAAACAGCTAAGCTAGACAGAAATATTACAGGCAGTCAGATAGGGCCAGGCCCTTAAGAGAGCCAGGACAAAGGTGAAACACATCTCAATGGTGGCCGGAGACACATCTGTTAGAGACCAGGCCTTAAGATAAAAACAAAAAGAGCAGGCCTATATATTTCCTCGAAGGACAAACGCAAGACCTAATGAAGCCTAGATAGACATCAGTCACCCCGTTGGATGACCAGGATCTCCAGACCCTTCATTTCCTAGAAAAAGTCTTTGTTCTTTCCATGCATCTTGTTCCATGACTTGTTTCCCATTGGATCACTATTACCTAAGTGTCTATACTTGTATCCTTATTGGTTAATCAGAGCTGTAACCCACATTGTACCCATGTGGGTATTGTTCTATAACATTTCCCTGCAAAGTAGGGTCCCAGCAGCCATTCGGGCCCCCTCCTGTCTCTCAGGAGCTGTATCTCTCCCTCTCAATAATTACTTTCTACTTTTAACCTCCATTGTTTCTAGAATTCATTCTTTGATTTTTAGAGACCCCTAACTTGGCGTATCAGGCATCTAACAAGTTAGGAGATATAATATTTTCCAATTTTATCTCCTGTATCGTATCCTGTATCATTTACACTTAGGGACCAGTTTTCTAACAGGCCTGAATTCTATTGGAAAGACTACCTGCCTGCCCACAGGGTTGCTGGTGGGACTGTAGGAATTTCTCTGCCTAAGTGAGAGTTGCCCAGATCATGAGCTTCAGGCCAGCTCAGCCATCAATTCCTGCATGACCTTGAGGCTGTCGCTTAACATTCACTCAATAATCATTTACAGAGCATCTACTGAATGCCAGATCTAAAGCCTAAAGTCTAAAGTGCCACGCCTAAGGCCTAAAGCCTAAAACCTGGCCCTGGCATCCCAATGGACAAGCCAGGCTCCTTGCAACTTTTGGACTGGTGGAAGACAGGCATGGAACTAGACAAACAGATCACAGAGCTTGTCTCTGGGGACAAAGAGGCCAGGATGGGCCAGAGGGCAGAGGCCTTGCCAGCTTTCTCCTACAGACCTGACATGGCTGGGCAGGGCTGTGGATGCAAGCTGCTCCCCGGAGCCCTGGGATTCCTCAAGGCACCTCCAGTACTGCTACAAAAGGGGATGAGCTGCAAGCATCTGAACTCAGTGCCTAATAGGGCTGGAGGCTTCTGCTCAGCTCTGTCTAGCTTCCAAGCCTGGATGCTAGTGGCTATTTGTGACAGCATTTCCCCAGGACCTCTCTTGTTCCCGAGTGCCCCTGCCAGGGTTCTGGGCTCCAGGGGAATAAGGAGACCACCGCTCTATCTGCTATACCTCTTCAACCTCCAACCAGACTCTACCAGGACAGCCAGCTCCCTTTCTCTTACCTGTGGGTCTGCTAGAGCTAGGAGAGCTGCAGGGGGCCCTGCAGTAAGTGCTGGTGTCTCTCAAAGAACTCAGGCTCTTTGGGGGTCAGGCCCTCTCCCTCTGTGCATCCCTGGATGAGCCCTGATCCCGCTCTGAGCTTCAGAGTGAGCCCTGCTTGGGCTCAGGGCCCAGTGTCACAGAGGTAGGACAGGCACTAGGGCTCCGTGTTAGTCAGTGGACAACTTATTCACTTCAGTGCAACATATCTTTATTCCCGTGTTTAGCCCCGATATTGGGCACTGATGTGGGTAGGTGGGGTAAGAAATGGCAAAAATAACAGATTCCTTCCACCCCTGGGCCTCAGTTTCCCCTCTGTCACATGTAGAAGGAATGTTCCCCTTGCTTCCTTCATTGGGATACTTTGAGGCCTGAAGGCAGCAACAAACAGGCTGAGCCTTTTGGCCAGAGGGTGCCCAGCGCTGAGGGCCTCCCAGACGTGGTCTTTGCCTGTGAGGACTTACTGTCTGGGAGAGGACCCGTGTCCTGGCCCCTCACTAGCTGCTGACCAGCAGCAGGTGGAGGCTCTGTGACCAAGTGATGTCCATCCAAGAGCATCTCAGCCACATGTCTTGGCTTCCTCCAGCTCTGTCTTGGAAGTGGGTGACTGATTTGTGGGGTCTTGTGTGAGGCTGGGGGCATTGACACCCTCACTTCTGGGCAGGCTCCTAAGACCTATTCATGTACGTCATAGTGCTGGGGGCTCTCAGCCCAAAGGGCACAGAGCTAACCCCTTCTCCTCAGGTCCACTGGGGTCTTCATGGAGAGCCAGCTTTGGAGTGAGAGGGCCAGGGCCTGGGGCAGCCACAAGGGGCTCCCAGTGAACTGGCGAGGGGCCCCCTCGGGCCACATGACACAGGCTGGAGCAGTCCATAGTCCAGAAGAGCCGCAAAGAGGCCGAGTCAGCACAGGGCCACCATCCTCCAGCACTGTTAGCTAGTGGCGTCCAGCAGGGGATCCGGGGAGGCTGACTGACTCAAGGTCACACGGGGGAAGCTGGCGACAAAGCTCTCCCACCTTCTCCGCACCTGCTGGAAGACCAGGGTGAGGAAGATGAGGACCCAGGGCTGAGCAGTGGGTTTGGGCTGCTGTTCTAGACACAGCCACGAGGTGGAGGTAGACCCCAGGGAGAAGCACCCCTCACCTGCAACCCTTTCTCCTATAGGCAGGGCTAGCAGGCCCATGCCTCTCCCAAGGCAGTCTGGATTTTCCCTTTTCCCCAGAGCAAGAGGGGAACAAAATTACACTGTGGGAAAGACACGCTGGCCGACCTCCTTGCCTCCTGTTCTGTCACCCGTCCAACATACGAAATAGCACATGGAGTGTCTTAAAGCAGCTCTGAGTACACCACACACACACCCATCCCCAACCTAAAATCTTCAGTGATTCCCCAGTGCACATGGGAAAATCCCAAACATCTTTAGGGCCCTCTTAAATATGACCCCTGGATTCCTGTCTCCAGTCTCTCCTCCAGACTGCTGTGCTGTTTTCCTGGTCTGCAGTCTGTGTGTATCCACCCTGGGTCTTTGTGCCCTGCTGCCTCTCCTGGGAGCTCGCCTCTCCTCTGTAACGGTGCCGCCCTTCCTCCAACCCTCAGCATACCTGCTGGTACTGCTTCAGCCACTGCCGGCTGCCTGCTCCTCGCTGGGCTTGGATCAGCTGCTCTGTGTCTCCCAGGCTCGTGGGCAGCCTCTCCTCAGCAGGGGCCTCCAGCCCTTCTGGGCCTCCATCTAGGGCCTGGGACCTGCATTTCTCACGGCCCTGCCGGAGGCTCAGTGTCCGCCGGAGTTGTCCCTCCTGGAGCTTCCCATAGGAGGACCGGGGTCCTCGAAAGGAGCGGCTGCGCAACCCTGTTCCCATAGCTCTGGATGCTTCCTCCGCACTGGTGAGCCGCCTGGATGGTCTGCGGTCTCCACCTGTCAGACAGGTGATCTCCTAGGGGCAAAGGTTGGCCCTGCTGAGGTGGCCATCATAAACCAAAGGGCAGGACATGGGTTGGGCATCTCTGAGTCACCCTCCCCACTGCCACCCACCTTCTGGGGCAAGGAGTTCAGACCAAAGGTCTGGTTCTTAATGTGTCTTCCTTGTCCTTCTCCTCCTCCAGGCAGCCCTCCCTGACTGCCCAGCTCTAGAAGAGCTCCGCTTCCTCTGAACTCTTGTGGCCAGGGTTGTTCACACCACTCATCTTGTTGACCCTGAACACAGGTGGCCCCACAACAACACAGAGACGTGAACCAGGACAGTTCCAACCTAGCAGTCAACATCAGAGAGATCCAGAGTAGATCAGTGCTTCCCAGTGGCCGGACCATGGAGAGGTCTTGTTTAGTTGCTGCGGGCTTTCAGTTTTGCATGAGGATGAGAGCTCCAGAGGTGGTATGCTCAACATTATGAGGAAAATTCCATTCCACTGACCTGTCCACTGAAAAAGGCTAAGGTGGGAAATTTTTGTGTTATGTGTATTTTACTACACTAGCATTTTTTTTTTTTTTTTTAAAGAAATAGTATAGCTCCAGTCTAGGTCCTTCCTTCCTTTCTTCCTTCCTCTCCCCTTTCCCTTCCTTTCTTCTTCTCTTCTCTTCTCTTCTCTTCTCTTCTCTTCTCTTCTCTTCTCTGCTCTCCTCCCCTCCCCTCCCCTCCCCTCACTTCCCCTCCTTTCATCTCTTCTCTTCTCTCTTCTCTTTTTTTTTCCAGGACTGGAGATTGAGCCCAGGGGTGCTATTACACTATGGAGCTACATGCCAAACCCTTTTTATGATTTACTTAGCTACTGGAGAACTGAACCCAGGGCTTTTACACTGAGCTACATTCTCAACCCTTACTTTTAGATACAAGGTCTTGCTAAGACACTAAATGGCTCAGGTCTGGGCTCAAAACTTGTGATCCTCCTGCCTGGATTTTCTTTTCCAGGCCTACTTCTGCTCCTAATACTCCAGCACAGCATAGCCTGGCATACATATAGCAACTCCTCAATAAAAGAGAGTTGGTGGTATTCATCATGATGGCAAACTCTCCTCTCTTGGTCAGCCTCCTTATCTATAAAGTGGGTCATTTTGGTTATGAGCCAAAATTGAACTGGGGGGGTACCCTGTACTCCTAGCATGTAGAAAGCTGAAATAACAAGTTCAAAGCCCCCCTGGGCTACATACTGAGAACCCATCTAAAAAAAAAAAAAAAAAAAAGGAAGAAGGAAGAAACTGAAATCATCAAGGTGGCTGCTCCTCAAAGCAAGACTGCCAGCAGCTCTGTCCCACCAAACAGGGGAAAGAGAAGGGGTCTTCGGCCGGGCCAGTAGATTCCCTAGAACCAGAGGATCTGAAAGCTGAAGGGACCTCGTACATATGAATCATACTCTATTTAGTTTTGAGCATTTTTCTGGTTCTAGAGCTAATTCATTCATAGGTTTCATTTAAACATTATGTTAGTCCTCTGAGGTGGGGATTTAACTGGATTGGATTGGATGGGATTGGATTCATGTGCTAGTGGAAATTGAAACCAGGACCCTTAACACTGAGATATCATGCCCAGTTGTTTTTAAATTTAATTGATTAATTTATTTATTTATTTATTTTGAGACATGGTTTTGTTAAGTTGCCCAAACTGGGTCTGAACTCTCTTGGTCCTCCTGCCTCAGCTTCCTAGCCTAGAGCACTGGGTACTAGGGCTACTGATGTGTGATACCACACATAGGTTAGTTTTTTTTTTGTTTGTTTGTTTTGTTTTTTGATAGACTCTTGCTATGTGGCACAGGCTGCCCTCAGACTCCTAGATTCAATCTTCCTGCATCAGACTCCTGGCTGGCTGGGACTAAAGGCATGTACCACCATGCCCAATTTGTTCCATTTTATAGATTAGGAAAGTGAGGCTCACAGAGGTCAAGCAGCTGGCCAGAGAGTACCTTTGGTAAGTGGCAGTGCTGGGACTCTCACTTTTTTTTTTTGTCTTTTTGAGACAGGGTCTCATTATGCAGTTCAGGCTGGCTTTGAGCTCACTTTGTAGACCAGGCTGGCCTTGAACTCACAACGATCCTCTTGCCTCAGCCTCCTGAGTGCTGGGATTACAGGCGAGCGCCACCACGCCTGGTGAGTTGAGTTGTGTGGTTTTTTTTCTTTTTCTTTTTTTTGGTGCTGGGAATCGAACTCAGGACCTTGTGCCTGCCAGGCAAGTGCTTGTGCCATTGAGCTATATCCCTAGCCCGGGGACTCCCACTTTGAAGCCTGTGTTTCTACCACTCTGTTCTCCTACCCAGTGTTGGTGACAGAGGCAAGACAGGAGCCACAAGCCCTGTGTCCTCCAAGATTGGGCTGCCACACAGGCCACCCTGACAGTCAGGGAGGTGCTGGCTATGACTCCTGGTCCACCCCATCTTTATCCCCTGGGCCTGGCCTTGGCCCTTTCCTCTCTCTCAGTTTCTGGGCTATCCTTGGGAAGAGTCTCTCCCTCTTTCCAGTCTTTTTGATTATTTTATTTTGAGACAGGGTCTCACCAAGTCACTAAGTTGCCAAGGCTGGGCTCTAATTTGTGATCCTCCTGTCTCAGCCTCCCAAGTACTGGGATTACAGGCGTACACTGCCACTCCCATCTTAGCGAAGGGTCTCTCAAGGTCTGCCGGGCTCAGCTCCCACTCCCCAATAAGCCAGGGCCCCTGTAAGAGAATGGATAAAAAGGGGCCTTAATGTTCTGCCTGAACCTGTCCCTAACACAGATCCCAATGTGCACCCAAAGCCTGTATATTCCAACCCTGCCCACCTTCCTGTGTTTAACCTCCAACCCAGTTAGAAGACAGTGCAACTGGCCATCATCCACCCCTCAATGCCGGCATGTCGGCACAGGCCATCTCAAATCCCCTCTCCCAGACCTGCACCAGGAGGAACCTGCTGACTCACACACTTCTGAGACGCGTTGGGCTGAATCACTCTCCTGTGTGTGTCAAGTGCACCGCTGCAGAACACTCTTGCCAAATCCATGATCTTCAAACACTCTCCATCCACCGAGGAAAGCAGAAAATACATATTCCTCTCCTTCCTCCCTGCCACTGCCCGACTTCCCTACCTGGCCAGCAGTCTCACTTTCAACACGCGGCTCTGAGAGTGACACGGGTTGGGGAAGGTGGGCTGTCCCCTCTGCAGGCCTCCGATGCCACACAGCACTAGCACGCACGCGTGCCTTCCCCAGCAGACCAGGCATTCCTTCATGGCACAAGCTACCCTGGTTTCATCTGTGCCCCAGGGCCCGACACAGTATAAATACCTGGTGTTAAATATAGGAGACTATTAGGTGTGCACTCTTGTGTGACAAATTACTTGCAGGGTGAGGAGTGCAGGCCAAGGGACCAGGACGCCCTGCCTTTTCCTCCTTCTCCTCTGGTTTTAACCACTGTTTTCTGAGCATTTTTACTGGTTCTGGAGCTAATCCCTCCATTAATATCATTTAAACCTCACAATAGCTTGAATGAGATTTGTGGCTTAAAACAAACTTAGTGAGTTAGGAAAACACACACTTATTATTTCAGTTTCTGTGGGCCCAGAATTGGACATGGCTTAGTGAGACTCTGGCTGAGGGTCCATCCAGGTCCTACTGTAGGCAGATGGGCTTCTAAACTCAACCTTGCCCTGAGCAGCAGAATTTCTCTACCCGCAGCTTGCTGGACAGAGGGCTGCTGTTTCTTGCTGGCTGTTGGCTATTGCTCCTCCGACCCCTCCAAAGAGCAGTTTAGCACCGGGGCAGCTGTCTTCAGTCAGAATGAGTGAAAAAGAGGGCCAGACAGGGGAGACAAGGCAGAAGCCAGAATCTGCGGGGACTTAATGTCAGAAGTGACAGCCCATTACGTCTGCTGTATTCTGTTCCTTAGGAGCCCCTCATCAGGTGCAGCCTTGCCTCACAGAGACCTAGGATTCCAAACCCACCATGCTGTCTGAGTTTGAAGCCTTGTCCTGGCACATGCTGGCCCTGTGCCTCGGGGAGCGGCCTAGCCTCATGCGCCTAAACTTTCTCAGCTATCAAATGGGGATTATACCTTATTTCACCAGATCTAAGGTGGCATCGATGGACTGCAACATCATTTGGCACCTCATTAAGAAGGAATACCAGGTACCCATTCATCAGGACATGGAACCCCACTGCAGAGGGGTTAAAATGCATGGAGAAGAGAAGTGCAAGACTGATGAAACACACTAGTATCCATTTCCTAGTGATGATGCCATTTAAAGCTGTGATGAGGCTTAGATATCTGATCTGGCTGCAAATTGGGGCACGCTACCTAGATGTTCCTCTCGGTAAACCAGAGAGATTGATCTACTTCTACCCATTATGGGCCAGATTTATTTGGTGAAGGCTTGGGGTGAGGCAGGGTAAAGTCAGTGTCTGTGGAAATGGAGGGGTTCTCATGTACATAGGGAGTGTGATTTATGAGAGATGCCAAGTGCCGAGGGTGCACAGAAGAGAACGGCTTGGGAATGGGGAGAATCCAGGCAGGCTTCTGGGAGGAGGTGGTATTGGCACTTTGGCTCCAGGGCATAGAGGATGGGTACAAATACAGATGGAGGTGAGAGTTGAGCACAGAGGGTTGCCCTGGGAAAGTCAGATGGAAGCCCGAACTCTAGGGCCTTGAGAATCTGAGCTGTCCCAGGAGGCAGCAGGATGGAGTACACCCTCCACTTTGGGAGCCTTACCTCTGTGATTGCATTTCACCCCTGCATCACTTGGGAGCTTATCCCACGGTTCAGATGAAATAACAGAAGCACTTTCAGGCAGGCCTGGAATCCAGCTCCCGTGAGTCCAGCCAGCACTGGGAGTCTTCAGAGACCTAGGTTCCACCCTCCGTGGGTGGAGGTCTGGGTCTTCCTGTGTCCTCTATGATGATTGGCCAGAACGGCAGGCTTAACCATAGGCCACTAGATTTTCTCCTTGAAAATATGACAGAAGACTGTGCAGATATTTAAATGAAAACCATTGGTATATATTCAACTGGTAATGGGACTCTACTCTCTGCCTGATCAGCTGTTATAATCCAGAGCATTTTGGACCCGAGTTCTTTTAGTTCAGAACAGTGGTACCAAACATGTCCACTTTTTTGGTTTTCATATCTGCACAGGAAGCTGGAATACAAGGCTGTCAGGTCCAGGGCCAGAGCCTGGCCACCTAATCACCTGGAGAAATCAAAGTAGGTGATAAATACTAACACTACTGCTGCAAAAACTATTATGAGAGCACCCAGGTGCTGAGCACTTGCTATACACTGGGCACTGAGCTAAGGGCTTCTGGTATGTGGTTGTATTTAATTTCAGCAGTGCTCTGAGGGATTAGGGTAGGATTATTCTGAGTGTAGAGAAAGCAATTGAGCTCTGTAGGAGAGTCCCAGAGGCAGTAACACAGGTGCTCTTGAACTCCTTCAATTAAGCAGAACCCAGTGACTGCCGAAGGTGGGTCTGTCCTTTTATCTGAGACTTTTCCTCATTTGTGAAATGGAGGTCTGTCTTGGTTACTTTTCTCTCGTTGCTGAGACAAAATACCCAACGCCCAAAATGAAGGAAGGAAAGGTTTATTTAGCTTACAGTTTGTGGAGGTTTCAGTCCATACTTGGCTGGCTCCGAGGCAGAAGACAGCAAAGCAACAAGAGCAAAGGGGGGAATGGCAGCCGAACAGCAAAGCAGCCAGAGCAAAAGGGAGGAATAGCCCCAAGCAGCTTCTTTTCCCTGCCTTACATTGTAAACAGGCTACCCCCACCTAAGGGGCATGTAGCTCTGGCACAATTTCCATGCCCTCCTCTTCCACAGGCTTAGGATGTATACAAAGTAAACACCCTGGCTTCCTGCTGAGTCACTTAGCCAAACCTCCAGACTCCCCAAGTTGACACAATGTATCAACCATAACAAGGTCTAACCCGGCTCCCTTAAACTTACCTTGTTAAAAAGCACCAAGTGCAGCCATATATGGTGGTGCATGCCTGTAATCCCAGCACTCTTCGAGGATGAGACAGGAGGATCTCAAGTTCTAGCCCAGCCTGAGGAATTGAGCATCTTGGCAAGACCTTGTCTCAAAATAAAAAGACGAGATATAGCTGAGGGCAAAAGCCCTGGGTTCAGCTCCTGACAGTGCAAAATAAGCAAACAATAAAACCATGCACCAATTGCCAGATCTTAATGCAAGCCTAGTACATAGCCAGACATGGGCAGGGCCTGATTGTGTTGTCTGTACACAAAGACCCAGGTGCTTTTTATCTTGTGGAACATCTTGGAAACATGATTGTTCAAGGCCTTTCTGCTTTTGAGGATTGTGTTCTTAGGATAAAAATGTCAAAACAAAGCCCTTTCTTTGTTCCAGAGCTGTATTCTGCACTTTCTTGCTTTCTCTTTTCCCAGATGGCCAGTGGAGCAGACAAAGCACTGCCTGGTGGTCCCTGACTTGGCCCCTATCTCTGTGACAAGCAGAGAAGTCACTTCTCTTTTGAGCCGCAGTGTTCACACCTGTCCAATGAGCACAGCATCCCTGCCGGATCCCGGGGGTGCTGGGGAAGCAGAGGTGCTACAGCTGAGGGGTAGGGGTTCACCTCTGCCTCTATTCAGCCCGAGGGCAGCAGGCTGGATGAAACTGGCACCCTGGTGAAAGGCTGGGGTCACAGAGAGCCTCTTCCCTGGGGACTTGGGATGGGGCATGTGGGCACTGAAGCAGGAGCCGCAGAGAAGAGGAGCTGCTTGCTAGCTGTGCAGAAACTGGGCTGGGGGAAAGGGAAAGTGCCTGCTTTGGTGCACCTCAATAAACTTGGGGGTGTTCTGGGGAAGCTAACCCACCCCTTTGCCTTTCTCTTTGTTTCTTGGTAACTTTACGTCCAGAGGTGTGGAAATGGAGGAAGGAAGGTCTTGGAACTGGCAGAGACTCTGCAGCCTAAGAGCACAGGGGAAAAGAGGTCTTAATTGTAGACCAAGGCCCACTGTGGCCAGTAGGAGGTCTGAACATCCTGTGGAAATTTACAATGGCTCCATGGGTCCAATGCAACCGTCCAGACTGACCAGAGTAGAAGGAGGCCAGGAACACAGGGAATGTCCCTAGGAGGAGGAGGCAAGGGTTAAAGGAGCCTGGTAGGGGAAGGCCCTGGGGAAGGCATTGGGATTTAGGGCCCCAACCTGAAAACCACACCTGGGCCAGGGAACCAGGCTGTCTTACACAGCTGTACAATTTCCACATAGCACAAATGCTTCTGGCTGATGGGGTGTGGCTACCTTCATTGTCACAAAGGCATAGCATGGCTTAGTGGTGGTTGTAGATGGGAGCCATCCCAAGAACGCCAGTGGAGTGGCCTGTCCCTCTCACAGGCCTGGGGGAGGGAAACATATCAAAAAAAAGCAGAAGAGCTACTCCTGCCCCATCACACACACCAAGGGTCCATGTGGCTTAGAATAGAAGACACAGCTTCAGCCCCTGAGGAGTGTCCCGTCCTTCCCGCCAGCAGTCACAGGTCACCCTGCCTTCTCACCAGCAGCCAGGCCCTCTGAGGCTGGAGCTGCCAGAACTTGCTTATTCCTTTTCTGCCATCCAGGATGGAAGAGGTGTAACACCTGAGCTGTTTTGTGAGCTGGTAAGAGTGAGGCTCTCTGGGGGTTCCTGGGCTCAGGGCCCTGTCTGCTGTTTGACTTCCAGTCTCCTTGTTCCTGGTTGCTCCTGGGCCTCCGCACTGCTTCCTGAACGTGCTAGGTGAGCTCCATCACAGGGCTGCAGTGGCGTGACCCTCTCTCATTCCACCGTGTCACACTACCTTTGTTTGCTTAGGCTCTTCCCTTTGCATGGGATTGTTTATCAATATAGTCACCTGTCTCTCTCTCTGTGCAGGCAGAGGCACTGCTTCCTTCAGAAAGCCCTTCAAGCTCGCTCTTATGGGGTCAGGGGCCCCTCCTTGGATTCTCTGGGCTTCTGGTCATTATCTTCAGCGAAGCACCACACCACTTTGAAAGTAAGCGCTTAGAGGTCTCTGTCTTCCCACTGCTCCTAGGAGTAGCTTGGGACAGGGAAGTCAGCTCATTGTTCATACCCACTCTGGTGAGTTCTGTCTAAAGGCTGTGTGGGGGCGGGATCTCATTTTTCTCCTCCTTGGCCCAGGGATGTTGTCAAAGTCCCGTCTGACAGTTTGTACCTCAACATTCATGGCCCTTGACCTGCCCTAGCCTGTTCCAGGTTGTTACATCTTTAACTTTCCCTCCCCCTTAAACATGGTGGATGCCCTCTGGACTCCTGCCTTTCTCGCTGGACTCTTGGCCTCTGGGACAGTCCCATTTACACTAGGCATTTTCACTGCTAAGTGTGGGTAGATGACTCCCATGGTTTTATTTGCCAACTATTTATTAAGCACTTACTATGTGCTAAATCAGTTTTTTGTTCGTTTTGTTTGAGACAGGGTCTTGTAATAGTCCAAGCTGGCCTCAAACTCAAGATCCTCCTGCCTCAGCTTCCTAAGTGTTAACTGGGATTACAAATGTGCACCACTTTGCCTGGTTTAAACTCAACTTCTGCCCAGTTGTGGTGGCATACACCTGCAATCCTTGCACTCAAGAGGCTGAGGCAGGGGGATCGTTGTGGCAGGAGGCCAGCCTGAACTATATAGCAAGACCTTGTCTCAAAAAAAAAAAAAAAAAAAAAAAAAATTCAACTCTTGATGTTCAAATGTGAGGAGAAACTGGGGAACAGAAAACAAACAAAAAAACCCCAAGAACTTTCCAGAAAGTGGACTGACACTAAGAAGCAACAGATGGAGCTACACTCCAGACTTCCAGGACATCTCTTCCCTCCTGACAGAGTCCTGCTGCTTCTATGCTGTGTGCCAGGGCCAAACTCCTGGGCAGCCCTGCACAGGCTGGCTCAGCCCTTCTGCCTGGCTTCACAGTCTGTCTCAATATCCTAAGAACTCAGTTTCCCAAGCTTCCCAGATTTCTAGAATCAGTTGGGGGCTGATTTTAAAAAGACAAGAGAAAAATTACTGAAAAGATTCCCAGCTCCATCCCAGATTTCCTGAATCAGAATCTACAGGGGTAGGGGATGGGTCCAAGAATCTGTCTGGTTTTGGTTTTAAAGAGCCAGGGAGATTCTTACCATGGGGGAAGTCAGGATAATACTTTTCTATACCTCTCAGTGGGTCTCAACACTGACCTATTACCCATTTGGAAATCCCCTAAAACTAGCAATGCAATGAAGGGGGTCTCACTTCCCAGAGATGAATTTCATTGGCCTTGGTGACTCCACTGGTGCTTCTAGGACCTCTGGGTAGTAATATGCATAAGAGCCATGGGGTGCAGCTCAGCAATCTGTGTTTCCCATAGGCAACCGGTACCAAAGAGATTCTGTCACTGATAGTACAAAGAGAAATGCTTCTCCTCCACTTTCTTTAATTTCTTTTTTGAGACAGGGTCTTGCTATATAGCCCTTGGCTCCAAATTCTCCTGCCTCTGCCTCCTGAGTGCTTCTGGATTACAGATTTGCACCATCATGCCTAGCTGAGAAATGCTTTTCCCAACAATGTTTGACTCCTCACCCAGGTTCATGGCTAAGCAGATCTTTTGTGCCTGGAGTGAAATACTTTCCTAATTGCGTCCTTTTCAGAAACTCATTCTGGGGGTAGAGGAGAGGGTGGGTGGCAAGGTGTCTTGTTTCCCAATCTAATTGTGCTAGACAATATAGATGCTGGAACTAGCTGATAAGAATCCACACAACAGTCCATTTTCTAGTTCTACTCAATTAATTTGTTCAGATTTAAGTCAGTTGCTGGTGATGCAGGAGTTGTCTGAACATGGGTGGAGCGACTTGCCCTCTGATCTAGACACAAGAGTTCCCAGGGAACAACCAAAACTAAGCCACCCGATCACTCAAAGCCCCTATTGACTGGCCAGTCCTAATGCAGGGCCAAACCTTTTTTTTTTTTGGTTTTTCTCCGGTACCGGGAACCGAACTCACGACCTTGCAATTGCCAGGCAGGTGCTTTGCCGCTGAGCTAAATCCCCAGCCCCTAGGGCCAAACCTGAAGGACACATGGATCCATGTCTTACACATATAGCCATTGAGATAAGATACAGACAGGAAGTGATAAGATCACAAGGTAGGCACGGGCTAGAAGGGTAATAGAAACTATAAGTAAATTACACTCAGTGTCCATTATGTCACACCTGTTTTATGTGAAAATCCAGCCCAGACAGAGAGGGGACTTGCCCGTAGCTTCAACTCTTTTCCTGAAAAAAAAAAAAAAAAAAAAAAAGAGGAACTGGACATGGTGATTCACACCTGTAATGCCAGTAGTTATAGATTTAGGAGACTGTATCTATACATAAATAAATAGTAGTCTGGGCATGTAGCTCAGTGTGAAGGCCCTGGGTTCAATCCTCAGTACTACCACAGCTGCTGCCCAGAGGAAAAAAAAAAAAGTGGACTTGGGCACCAATGGAATGTGGGCTCTAACATATCTTGCCCACCACCCTCCCCAGCATCCCACCACTGGGCACACAGTAGGTACTCAAGAAGTGTGTACTGATCAAATGAATGCATGTATCTGGAAAATCGAAGTTGAAACCCTTGTCCTACTACTATTTGCTGTGTTGGAGCTATCCAGGGTTGGGGTTCTGGGGGACAGGTGGATGGAAGGACAAAGAAATTGGCTTGACAAAGTCTTTACATAATAAAGTCCAAGAAGAGGAGGGAGTCGTAATACAGTATCTCTTCCTGATCAAAAAGCAATTTCTAGTTATTAACACGATGTTCTCTCCTGATCCTCTTGTCTGCAGCCCGTTATTTTTTCTCCTTATCCTGATCACCATCTGACATATGGTATATTCTATCTGTTGTCAGCCTCTCTTACTGGAAGGCAGAAAATTTTGGTTTGTGTTGGTCATTTCTCTATTCCCTGGTTGGCTCAGAGCCCAATTTAGAAAGCTTTTCTACTGTACATCAACCAAGACTTCTAAACTCCTTAGGCCCTGAGCGGCTTGCTTTGCACAGTAGGAAACATAAGCTCAGAGAGGTGAAGTGA